ACAATAAGTGCCACCACCTGTTTACTGTTGCACTAAATGCTATTGCAGTGCGTTGAGTAAGATACAGATAAATGTGAATAAATATGCAACAGTCAGTGAGTTTTTGTTTCTGGGAGCAGCATACTATATGACTGAGGTTAACTGACTCAGGGGCCTGGCAAAAATCAACCACATGGGTGCAGCTCCCTGCATGTACTGTTACATTTCACATGTTGTGTAATAATTTGAGAGAGACAAATCTGAATCATTATGCAGACATGGTACAACACATTTGAATTCTGCCCTTGATGACCTGTTTTCACCCTCTATATTTGCATTTTAACATAAAATTAGGTGTTTTCTCAAAGAGATCTCGAAGTACACCAGTTGTGAATTTGAGGAATGTAGCCTGCAGTGTAGTTTGATTCTGTAGCCGTCGAATTCCCAATGTATCCCTCTGTTTTCTGTGCCCCATGGCCAGCACATTTTTCCAGATGCCTGCAGAGCTACAGCAGACCCTGTCCGCCAAACCTGAAGCCGATGATAATATTAGCCTACAGCTGCATAAAATCGACCTCATTTTTATGCCTTTCATTTCATCTCTACTTTTCTCTTTTACCTCTCCCCCTTGTTTTTCCCCATCCTCGCACTGTGCTAGCATGATATCACCCTCGGTGGATTTTAAAGAGTGATGGTTTTAATTAGTCAGGATAATGACAAGTAATTAACTCCCAACACAAGTGGCCGGTGCAGTGCTCTTCTAGGCTTGCCTTTGAGATTGCCTGATATTTAACAGTTTTCTTTGTAGTGTAACTCCAATACATTTTTCTCCAGGCAACTCTGAATAGTGAATATGCAAGTTTTACACTTCAACTCTGCAAATTTTCTCTGGATTGAAAGGGATAATATTTTCGCTGCTGCACAAGAGAAAGTACTTTTCAAATGGTGTAATCTATTGTATTCCATTAAAAGCTGAATTTACAGTCATCGCTGTTAGGGGAGGTCTCATCGAGTCAAAGGAGAAGTCCTGGATACCAGAGTTGGAGGAAGTTCTAATTCAAGCATGTCTCTTGCCTAGTCTTCAGTTTAGCTATTCCACTGAGATGCATGGGGGTGTGAAATATCTCTAAGTCTCTTGTCAGTCTCTCGCTCTTTCTCTTTTGTCTGTTTCTTCTGAAAGAGCATTAGTAGGGGTTGCTGAAGACAGAGCAACTCTGCCACAAAATAAAGAAAGGCTGGGGTTTGAGGATTGAGAGTATTTCAAAGTGTCCCTGTAAAGCCACATGGCTGCTCAGTCTCTAATACCAGGCCTCATACCTGACTGCTCGAAGATTATAGAAAGTTTCAGTGTGTGCTCGCAGACCTCAGGAGTAAATAAGGCAAAACCACAGAAAGGAGAGAAAGAGATTGAGAAAAAGAGAGACACAGAGAGAGATGGAGAACTTTGAAGCAAGGAGAGTGACTCAGAATCAGCCATGTATGAATGTCTTGGCCTGGTAACCGGATGTTGTACACACCTGCAGAACATTTGTCATTCTGCTCACTTATTAAAGGTGAAGTGTGTCATTTTTTGGGATGTTATACTTCTGTCCTAGTTTAATATGCAGAGGAAACTATTAACTCTTTCCCCGCCATTGACGAGTTATCTCGTCTTTTAGAAGAAAACGCTTCCCCCGCCAAAGATGAGTTTTTACTGCTTTTCGTGTTTTCACAGTTATACACTCGGGGGTGCTATTACACATCTTCTGAACGAGTACAAAACCTCCCGAACAAAAGCACACGTGAACAGGATGGAGAAACTAGCGATCTCTTATGTAAACAGATGCATATGAAAAATAATGCGATCATCAGCAATAGACAGCATATAAATGAAAACTGCATAATGTTGATCCAGGTAGTGGTATATGTCTGTGCAAGCTTAGGAGGTATTGATGGAAGCGATTTACTGGATGTATGCTTTGATAATCGTACTGAATATTATCCGGATGGAGTTTTACATGCATATTCAAATATTCATACAGCAAAATATACTGGAGGCCATCAAATTTGAGTGAAAATCATCAAAATCGCTGGCGGTGG